TTATAATACAAGAGTAACCCCCGATAATAAGCCATGGCCCTTAACCTCAAGGCTCTAAAGAACGATTAAATAGAACATAATTATACAATGTATTATCAATATGATTTTTTTTCTCCAGACCGTCAAGAGCATATTCATCGGCACATTTTGGTGAAGGTTCGGGTCCGACTTGGTTGGACGAACTCAAGTGTACCGGGTCCGAATCTGACGTTAGTTATTGTAGAAGTAACGGGTGGGGTAAAGAGGACTGCGGACATTCTGAAGACGCCGGTGTTAGATGCTGTAAGTTTACATATATAATATTTTTGTCTTCTTCTCTTTTCTTATTGATTTAAAAATGAAATATGAAGTTAATAACGCCCAAATTATTCAATTTTATGACAACCTACTCCCTTTTTTCTTGTCTAGGAACAAGCTTTACTTGAAAATGTCAAAGAAAAAAAAATGTAAAAAATGCAATGTAAATATTGAGCAGCTAGTTATATATTTAGATTAAGCTATTTTAACTCATATTTCTTTAAATATTTTATTATAAATTCGTTTCTGGTTATTTTCTCCACGCTAAGATAGCTTACAACTGAATCTGTAAAGCCTTTGAGAAAAAATACCAATATGACGGCTCATACACTTATATGGTAATAAGTGCCAAAGACCATTCCAAAGAAATAATAGAATGTGAATAAGTGAAATTATTATACAATGTATCTATTTCTGTATTACAGCATCTCATCCGCCACAAACGATGAGATTAATAGGTGGTAGAGGAAATTTTGAGGGTAAGATGTCGTCACATGTACATATATTTAACTTTTGATATATATTACTTTGAAGCGATAAATATGGAATAGACTACTGAAAGGAGTGCGCTGTTAAGCATTTTCTTCACATGACAAAAACACTAGATGATATTTGAAAGGATGATGATGAAAATGATGATAATTACGATGCTAATTTTGCTGCTGCTGCTGATGATGATGATGATATCGACGGCGATGATAATGATAATCATTATTATAGTGATGATGATGATCAGTACGATGATGATGATGGGCGACAGTTAAAATTCTGGAAGGAGAAAAGTCATCCATTAATACCAAGATAGCAATTCGCAAAAGTACATGTGCAATCTTGAGTTCAGTGAGAATGCACGCTCCTTACCATTCGGAATAAAATATAATTTTATTGTAGGTACAGTTGATGTTATGGAAAATGGACAGTGGGGTACTATATGTGACAGAGAGTTTACCGACATTGACGCTTCTGTCGTCTGCAAACAACTCGGCTTCACTGGCGGGTAATGTTATACATTTGTAATGTTATACAGAATTCCATAAGGGCCATCGCCATTTAAAAACATTGATTTTTGTAGCTTAAAGTATCACTAGGATAATTTTTATTATGAATATACAGGACACCTGATCATTCAACCTGCGTATGCGTTCTAGAACGTGAAAGTAAGACAAAAACGCAAAAACAATGATGACGTCAATGAAACAAAACAGAACTAAAACGTCAAAGGTACTATAAAAAGATAAAAAGGCAAAGAAGAAGAAAAGAAAAAAAAACAGCGGTATTTAAAGCAAAACACAAAGTTGTACTTTTAGCATTTTTATCATTGTAATCAAGTGTTTTCGCCATAGCATTGTTGTGTTTCAGCGTTGTTTTGTTTTTGTTTTTTGCTTTTTTTTCATCATTTATTTTCAATTTTTTGTAATCGAAGGACTTTCAACATTTAAAATCATTTACAAAATATCTAAATAATTTTCAAGCTCGGATTTTGAATGGACAATATCAAATATTTCTGTAAATATTAATTGATTTAAACATATTTATTCAAAATATTTACATTATGTATGATGAACAATATTTAAACAATAAATTTTGGGATTGGTCAGAAAGCTATGAAAGCTTACAAGAGTGTCCTCTCCGTCTATTTCATTTAATAGATATATTTCGTAATCTAGAGTATGATTTGAGGTAGATGTTAAAATCCATGAAATTTTTGTCAGCATTGAATAATTAAAATCATATTGTTCTGTTGCCAGTTCTGCAGTTAAACGAGCTTACTTTGGACAACTGAGTTCCGGACGCATTTGGACAGACAAGCTTGGTTGCCAGGGAAACGAACAAGGAATCTGGGATTGTAAATATTATGGAACCAACTGGGGTCATTCAAATACATGTAATAAAAGTATGGACGCTGGTGTCATATGTGGTAAGAAATGAGCTCCGTAGAATTATACATAGCTTCCGAAATAGTATATAATAATCGTTCACTTTTTTACATTTTCTGTTTTAAAAGTGTCATTCGGTATTTTATGCACTGCTTCCGTTTATTCTAGTTCCATGTCCTATTATGGTTCCTATAAAAGTGCCAGACACCAGTCAACGCTTCCGTTTTCAATAAGAATACCTCGGCTTTTATTGTTATCTTTGAATTCGAAAAGTTGCGATGTGTCAATTCTGTACTTCCGAAGCCATTCACTATCTAGCAGGTACTCGCGTTACCGGAGAGCTCGCTTTGCGAGCAGGCCCTTCGGGCCAGCTCTTCGAACTCGCTATAAACATTTTCCGAGTATGGTAAAGACAGCCATTGTGGTAATGTCAAACACATAAAAACTATAACGATATACAGTCCCCTCCAAAAGTTTCCGGACATAGTTACAAATCATATAAAATGAAAGAAATATCAATGAAATAACAGCAAAGGAATATTTTATCTCTTTAATCTTCTACAATAACATCAAACATCGGCAAAAACAACACTTGTCAACATCCTGATGCCATAAATGTAAATTGTTAGTCAATATTATCCAATTGTCCCCAAAACGTCCTCATTCATAACATTACAGATTGTGCATCTTAATACTTGGTATGCCCTCCGTGGGCTTCAATGACAGCCTGTATTCTGTTAGGCATGCCTCTCACAAGCCGAGAGCACCTTTCTCTTGGTATGGCCTCCCATGATGCCACAACATTTGCCTCCAGTTCACCCATGTTGCGACTTAATTTGTTCTTTATGGTTAATTAAAATGTACCACAAACAAACACATGTGTTTAAAGGAAAACAATTTTTGGAGGGCACAAATGATGACTTTTGAAGACAAATAATGTTAATTTATTACCTCCCTTTATCACACCTTATTTAAAGGTACTTCTTTTGTTTCAAACTAATAAAATAAGCAAATTACCTAGAATATTTCAATAAAAAAAGTTTGTACGGAAACTTTTGGAGGGGACTGTATTAGTATCATAGTTCAGAGATGTTTCGATGCTCTTTCTATTACGTAGAATTTAAAATTAACAATAAGGGCCACTTATACCAATATCATTTCTTAAAGACCACACTGAGGTTCGACTCGTTGGAGGAAGTCTGCCGTCTAAAGGTCGTGTCGAGGTCAAACATAACGGTGTTTGGGGAACAGTGTGTGGAAACAGCTTCACGCAACATGATAGTGACGTCATATGTAGAATGTTAGGCTTCAATCATAGGTAGGCATGGGCATGTTGACGTCATTTCTATTTGGAATGTTTATTTTAATGGTAGCGCTGAAATGATGATTGGATTTAATAAGTAATACGCCATTACGGCGACGTCATTAATAAGACGTCGGTATTCGTTAATTGTGAAAAAATGTTTGGGTAGAGTTTTGCTCACTGGGTTCAACGTCAAGATCTTGCGTTTAAATTTATCGGTAAGTTGAATGTTTTTCAACTTCATCACAAAGCAATGACATACCAACTAACATTTTTCACAAAAATCATGGCTCTGTCAGATTTTAAATATTACAGTGTTAAGCAATTTCTTGGTCCACAACTGAGTGAATGGGTAAACCTTTTCTAACAGAATCTAGGCAAGTAACATTTGTGCTTACCAAACACGTTCTTGTTGTTGTTTATTTGCCTAGTAAGTTATAGATAATATATACTAATTGACAAGTGAGCCATTGGAAATTTTTTTTATGATATTCATCGATAGAATGCCATATTGACCGAGGCAAAATCCAAACCAGCCAGTAAATATGATATTGCACCCAGTGATTAAGATTTAATTATTAGTTTAGCCGACAGCTGATTGGGCCAATGAGATTGCAGATATCTTTAGATCATATAAAAGTTATGTTTATCTTATGCATAAATTAATGTAATTAAAGCCCCAGTCACATTAGAGCTTACGACCAGTGAAGACCAGTTCACGATCACCAGTGACCTCTGGTCGCGGACAATCTTTAAAACGTCTTACGACGGTCATCGGTGATCTTTGACAGTCGCAGGTTATCTTATTTAGGTCCCACGACCAATTTCAGTCGTGGAGAGGTTTTTGAGCTTGCACAAAAACCTCCTTGCGATCAAACTGGTCGCTAGTGATCTTATAAGGTCTTAAGGCGGTCGCACGATGGTCGTTCGGAAGTGCGACAATCTTACGACAGTCTTTACAAATTTCCACTAGTCACTGATAATCTTAAGTAGTCTTTAGTTATCGTGTGATGGTCGTACGACAAGTTGTAGGTGATCGCATGTTATGTCACGGGTAGTCGTAAGTAATCCCAGGCAATCTTGAGACCATCGTACGTTTACTTATGACCTGTCGTGCGATTGTCAATGATGACTTGTCTTACGATACTAGCAAAAGTAAATTTATTTGTGCAAAAATGGTTTTAGTCGCAGACAATCGCTGATGATCGTCAGTTTTACAAGTCGCCGGTGGTCGCATGTAATCGTAAGCTCTAGTGTGACTGGGGTTTAATCAATTAAAATTTAATTAATCAATTAATTAATATACTCACAGCGCAGTCTCTATACAATACAACGCAACACAGGGGACTGGTCCAATATGGCTCGGGAATGTCGGTTGCCACGGCAACGAAGTTGACATACAATTTTGCAATCTTGGTGGCTGGAATAATCATTCGTGTACCCATGACAACGATGTAGGCTTGACTTGCCGTAAGTTTTTATGATTTAAATTTTATTCAGACCAGAGGCAAACTCTTACATCTCTTACACTCTTTCAAATATTTTTTTATTTTACTACAGTAGGAGTCGTTTTAAATATTTAATTCGATCCGTTAATATTTCGTGTACGTTCGGCACACTTCGACATTGTCCGTGCCCATAATTTGTTTGATCAATCAATAAGTGGTCAGTCATCAAGATTTTCTGACGCTTTTAATATTTTCAGAAATTTTATAAAATTCATTTCTAAGTGACAATTTGTATATAAACGCATGTCTTACAATTATTTTACAGTAAGTTTATTTCAATTTAAAACCTATATCAAGTTATTTGTATGTATTTGTAAGAATATCTTTACTGATAAGCATCTTTATAGATATTTATTTGTACAGAACCGACAGACGTTCGTCTAACACGAGGTTCTAGCCCAGCTGAAGGAACTGTTGAAATTCGTGTAGATGGGTCATGGAAGACTATTTGTGACCCAGACTTCGGTGATAACGAGGCCAACGTTATTTGCAGGATGCTGGGATATACAGGGAGGTAACAACTTGTGACGTCAACGTGACGTCATGAAGACATATTCTTTAAAGATGTGAATTAAATAGTTTAATGGATTTGCATTTGGGAAAGTCCACTTGGGATTTCAGTGTGAAATGAAGCATTAAATTCTAATCAAATACGGTTTATGTAGAACAAATACCTCAATCCAACAACTATATTATTTCTTCCCAAACTAAAGATTTCGACTATATATATTTTTACTACCGTCAGTAGAGAAATGTCTTAGAAACAACCATTTTTTGTCTCCTAAACATTTTTGCTCTGCAGATGTTATACTCAAACTACTAATAAAGTCCATTTAAGTTAAATGCTACCATAAAAGTAATCAAAGTAAATCTGTAATTTAACAGTCATAAATTTTAGATCGATCAAAGTGTGGGTTGACCAAATCTTTTTTTACTTCTATATTTATTTTGTTAATAAAGCTCCTTTGTCCTTTATTGACATTTATACCCTTAAACATAGGTAAATCTGTCACTATTTTATTAAATCTATATACATGTATATAATATAAACAATAAATACAAGTTGTGGCCTCCCATTACCAGCACGGGTTCCTAAAATGCATTCACACGTGTAAACTGTATAAAATATCCTCTATTCCATCAAAGTTATTGTAGAAGTTAATATATGAACGAGTCATTGCCCGGGTTCTACTACAAATACTTCATTAAAACCTGTAACATTGCAGGAAATAGCTAACATTTCAATATTTACATTGGCTGTCAAGTTGTCGTCCATTTTGCAGGTCTGTTTTTGTTCCGATTATTTTCATTGGATGATGAAAAAACCGCTAAACGTCTCGGCTATATGCCGGTATTATCCGGATTATTATTATTCATTAGCCAATGAAATTGACAGTCACTAACAGAAGTTGGATTCACGCATGGAACATACGGGCAACATCAAAATGGAAGCCGAGGATAGAAATTATCATAACAAACAAAAATTGTTACAATAATTTGTACCAGAAGTTAATGATTGCGTCATTGATGGTGGTGGATGATTGATATTTAACCGATTACATGATTAAACTTTCTTTTATGAGCATACGTTTGCATTAGATGTCGTTTTACACGTGTAATTTTACAAACCGAAATTTTACGAACGTGTGTAAAAATGAAACATGAAAGGTTATTTTTAATAATATCTTGTCCATGTAACAAAGTGAATCATTATTTTTGAAATTATCGATTCTTTCATCAATGTCCAACAATCAAAAGAAGAAAAAACTGTTGTATACTGCGTTCTATTTACTTTTTCATGAATTGAGCAATTTTGAGTTGTATCCCTTGTTATATTATATATATAGTGGGAAAGGAAAAAAAATGCCAGAATCCCCTGTGCCCTTAACTATGATAACTTCCTTTCAGAACATTTACACATTAGCATATGATTCTTATTTCAAGGACATTTATTCACTAGAATATGACAATGTCATTCAATAACATTTACACACTAGCATATGATAACTTCCTTTAAGAACATGTATACACTTGAATATGATAATTTCCATCGGAAACATGTGTATAACAATGTCTGTACTTACAAACCTATTTTAACAGAGATGCGCCACATGTGGTTTTCCATTCGGATTACTTCGGTCACAGTTATAGTCCACATTTTGACAATGTAACGTGTCGCGGTGACGAGAATGACATCAGCCAGTGCTCTTCAGTCTTTCACACCTCGTGCCAAACCTCGCAGATTGTTGGATTAAGATGTGGTATAACACATGCATTTATATTCTTCTTCGTCTTTTAAGTACGAAAGCTGGTACTTTTTGCAATTCTTTTGAAAAATATTTTAACAAATACATTACCCAGGGGCACCGTATTTTGTATGTGCAATGTCAAATTCGAGAAAAGGCGTTTGTTTGAAGATGAGCAGAAAAGAGTCATGACAATCTAGCAATATGTACACCGGTCTCGATATGACCGGTGTGTATACAATGGACAATCAAGTGCTTACAAAATGAGTCATGCCATGGAGAATAAGAAATGAAATTTTCCGAATGTACACGAACTATTTATGAATATAAGTATCCGATATACGCTTGTAATTAAAGATTAATTAAGCAATACTTTTATATTTGATTAGAGTGTTATTTGGACATGCAAAATACTATGTGTCACACTAGTGTGATAATATTTCTGTCAGAGTACATATATTAAATGATCTTAATTCGCAGGTTGTCTATAACACCGGTTTGATCGTAAATAAATATTGTAATATAATTAAAGAGGGTGTCCAAATTCGTCTTGTTGGAGGAGCTCACAGTACGGAGGGGCGGGTTGAAGTCTTACATGGCGGTCAGTGGGGCTCGTTCTGCGACTCTGACTGGGACGACTCGGACGCTACGGTGATATGTAGAATGTTGGCCTACTTTCCGTATGACAGGTGCGAGCACCAATTTTACTTTTTTAGCTGATGGTTTCAGACTCTCTGTTCTTACTCTAAAAACTAGACATTTTATTCGGAGAGTAAGGGAGAAATAAAAGCAAAATGTTGTTGCATGTGTTAGTTACCACGTGAAATAATGCTGTATATAGTCCTTTTCTGAATGATAATGTATTGATTTTCAACTTCGAACTTATGAAACATGTAATAAGGAAATTCATGTCAAGATTTAATATTATAGATAGGTACATGAGTTTTTTTTTGTTTTTTTTTATCCTTAGGTCACTTACATGATGACATTTGTTTTTATTCGGAGATCTTCGTCATTTTCCGTGAGGTTCTCATATATAAGAAATGCGGTGAGCTGACAAAGATATCGATTGATCCTTGTCATAAAGACGCTCGTTGATCTTTATAATGCACGGAAATTGTCGAAATATACCGAATTTTCTCAAAGTTTGAATATTCCCTTTGATCAATGTCAACACACGGAAATTATCGAAATATACCGATTTTGACGAATTTTAAATATTCTTTTGACGAAAAGTTTACATATGTAGAATTGTAGTCGGGAAAGCAGTTCACGGCTCATATTTTGGCTATGGAGATGGTCCAGTCTGGCTGGCGGATGTAGGCTGCAATGGTACAGAAATGGATCTCACTGAGTGCCGGATGAACTGGAATGGCGGTGTGAACTGCGACCATAGCAGAGACGCTGGCGTTATTTGTGAATGTAAGATATATACAGTTATATTATTTCAGATAAAAAGTGTTTATATTTATTGTTAACGGACATTTATGTTTTTTAAGGTTAATTATATTTAATTGTATGAATATACACACAATATACAGTTTCATAATCTTACAAACATAATCAAGTGCATGTACGTACAAAAGGGTTGGGCCAAAAGTTCTAAAAACATAACCATTGGCCCTTCCAAGATATTAGTCAAAAATTAGTTTATACTATTTGAATGAAGTTGTGTGATATCAAATTTTTTTATGAATTTCAGTTTTAAGTAATTTTTCAGAAACTAATTTCAATGTTTTATATGTAAATCAAAATAAAAAGAAGGAGAAATTAAAAAATATAGAACTATTTATAAACATAATATTATAATAAAATAATGATAATAAGAATGAATAAAATAAGTTATCTAAATGTATAAAGTATGAGTTTCAAAAGTAAATAGTGTTCCATTTGAAGTTATTTATGGCTTTTGAATTTAGTGTTCTAAGAATCATATTTGAGAAAAACAAAGTAATAAATAATAGAATGAAATAGTAAAATTATTTCAATAGTTACAAAAACTGCAAAATAAATAAATAAATACGAAGATATTCACGCACAAAACCCTGTTTAGATCTTAAAGTACTGTTTCAGCAGTAAATTTTTTTTGCAAAAACAAATTTTTATTAAAAGGGTTTTTTTACCCAAAAAACCCGAGTCAAAAATTTTATGTTTTATTTTTTTTTTTCACAGTTTTTAAATCCACCCAAAAAAAAGCGGGCTTTATGGGGACAGAGGACAGTGAAGGTAATTTTAAGTTTTTGGAAAAATGGCATTTGGCGGGCTTATTTTGGGAAAAGGATGAAAAAGATCTGGGCGCGTTGGTTTATAGTCGAGAAAATTGGTTACTGGTTTCGAGTATTTTTATAATCAAAATTTTTAGCCCAAAAAAATTGGAAAAAAGATTTAAAAACTAAAATTTAATCTCGAAAAGATACTGGTTACCGGTTAAGTCGAACTTAAGCCCATAACTTGGTATGTTTATTATTTTTATCCACTTTCGCTGCGTATATTGTTTTGTTTTTGATACACTTTCACTGCGTTTATTTTCTGCCTAAATTCATTGAACACTCTAGATGGATTTGTTTAGATCGAATGACGACCACTGCTTATACATGTTTATTGATGAAAATATTCATGACATATTTTTTACCAAATTTAAATAGTACAAATTTGCTTGTCACTTATTTTGTTACAATTTGTGATAAATTCTATGTATGGTGGCTTATTTGGAACGCTTTTGTGCGTCGTGTTGTCGCTATCGACAACGCAACGCGCAATGTGTTACAAATCTATGGTGGCTGATTTGTAACGCTTTTGTGTGTCGTGTTGTCGCTAGCGACATGACGACAAAGCGCCAAACGGCGTATTGTCGGACTTTCCTTTTGTCGTCCTGTCGCTAACGATGTAGCCAAATGTCGTGCGGCATGTTGTCGCGATGTCACATTGTCGCTCAGATCAAATCGAAGGATTGGCTTATGTGCCGAGCGATAGGGCGACATCGCGACAAAGCGCCGCACGACAACGCGCCGATTTGCGTGCTTCGCTAGAGACAGGACGACAAGATGACAGTGCGACAATGTGCCGTTTAGCGCGTTTCGCTAGCGACAAGACAAAACGAAAAGGCGATAGCCATATAGGTTGTGTTGTCGCTATCGACAACGCAACGTGCAAAGTGTACCAAGTCAGCCACCATACAAATCAGCCACCATATCTTTGTCAAAATTTTAATATCTCTACAGGACAGCAAACCCAATTTTATTCAATGCCTCGCATTTTGGAGGCAGCAGAAGTTCGGCGTACTTAGTTGAACCGGAATGTTCCGGTTCCGAGGGGAACTTTGAAATGTGCAGAATGGGGGACAGAAACGGTGTTACCACTTGTTCAAGTTCTCACAGTGTTGCTGTAAGCTGCAATCCGCAGAATCTAGGTAAAAAAATGAAAAAATATGGAACGCCGGAGCAGTCTTTTAAAGTCATTGGTATAAGTAATTTTATTGGTTGTACTGTTACACATCCCTTATATGTGTAAATCATTCTTCATAGAATATTACACGTTCAAGAATAATGAGAATTAATGTTATTATCATTTTTATTTTGTTTGGTATTATTCTATGATTGTTAAGGATTTTATGTAGATTCATCCTAACATGATATGGACAACTTGTTACATTAATATTCATTCTTAACTATATAATGTCCTACCTTATAACATTATGCTCGTTTTATACAGTTATTTTGTCAAACACATTTTATCATGCCATTTTGTTTTTACTCTTAAGTATGGTATGCAATATTATGACAAAAAAGACAGTTATTGCGTTCCATATGTCACAGTTTAAAGCGTAAATGAAACTTTCTCACATATAAGACGGCTTCACGTATAGCACGCCCCCACCCCTCCGCACGCTTTATAAAGTTATAAGGAAGATAAAAGTTATAAGGAAGATTTACCGCCTCCGTAGTCGAGGGGTTAGAGTCGATGACTTCTAATTCAGGTACCTCTCTGGCGTGGGTTCGATCCCCGGGAGATGCTTTGGTAGTTTAGCGCGGAGGAAGGTAGTCTAGTACTGGTGTAACTCTCCAGGAACGATGCTTAGGAAACTACCCGCCTATATGACTGAAATACTGTTGGAAAAAGGCGTAAAATAAACAAACAAACAAACAAATATAAGGAAGATCGTTACTTGCGGTATTTAATAAGTTTCATCAATTTTCAAAAGACCTTAAATTGAAACTTGCAAGTAACGATTGAAAATCTATCAATGAAGGTGAAATAAGAAACCAAAAGATGACAAATAAGAAAAGGAAGTATTAGTAGAAGCTGTAGAAGGAGTAATGGCAGTGGTAGACTAGTTGTAGTAATAGAAGAAAAAGTGGAGGAAGAGGAAGAAAACTCATATAAAACTAGAAATATTTAAAAAAAATATTTTGTTAATTGTACAATGTAGAATATATAGAATTATTATATTTATATAACTCGTGAAGCGTACAACAATAATGTATTTTTTAAAAACAGATATGGCAAATATTCGACTTGTAGACGGTCAGGGACCATGGAATGGTCGATTGGAGATGAAAAACAATGGCGTATGGGGAAGCGTCTGCTATGATTTCTGGAATGATACACTAACAGACTTAGTTTGTCATAGTCTTCGTTTCCTGTGAGCTCTTTGACGTCATAATTTCTATGTTACCTTTATTTATTGATTAATGGAAAGATTTACTAATCCATTTACCATAAAATAGAAGTGGTTTTTACTTTTCAGATATTCAACTCATTAATTCTATTAATTTTAAAATTGATTTTGACAAATCTTGTTCTTAACTTACTGATTGATTGATAGATTGATTGCATTATTGGTTAATTTGCTAGTTCACTAATTGATTGGATTGATTGTTTTTGGTTGATTGATTTATCGATTGATTTCTCGTTGATCGATAGATCGATTAATTTATTGATTGATTGATTGACCTCTTTTAAATGGTTGAATAACTGGTTTAAAACCAAAGTGATACTTGAAAATTTAAAACTGTCATTCTAGCAATAGTAAAATCACATGTGTTTACAGAGATTCAAATGGAACGAGCTTCAAGACATCGATTGGTTTCACATCCATGCATTTCAATTCGTTTGACTGTCCGCCAGGTGGCGTTACAAATCTAGGAGAATGTATCGCTGACTTTAACATAAGTGACTGCAGCCAAAGTAGCTCACAAGCTGTGGGAATCGATTGTTCCGGTAAATAAAGATATATTTATATAAAAAAATAACATTTCAGCTTAGAGAAGAGAAATATTCGCATGATTTTGAACAAAGATCTAGAGTGCGTTTATAGCAAAAGCAAATATTACACGCAACGCGGCAAGTATGTTCAAAAGTGCGACGATTTTGAACAAGTTTGCCCGGAAGAACATTACTTGGGTCGGGGTTTATTGGGATAAAAAAACAACATTCAATGCTCTTCATTTAGAAAAGCGAAATGTATACTTACTTCCGGTTTGTCCACTTTTCTTGAAAGAAGATCCTTTTCGCGAAATAATATTCTTTGTAAGTAAAGAATCTCGGAGGAGACAACATTGCATTTTAAATTAAATGTTTCTTTTTGTTGGTTTTCTTAAATATTTATTTTGAAAACCTTTACATATAACCGCAACATTTTTGTACTGCAATTTTTAACATATATAAATGTACCTAAATTGGATAGTATTGATAGACACATGCTATAACTTTTCCCCAATCTATCTTTGTTGTGTATATGCATAATTCATAAGGTAAAAATATAGTTAAAACTTAATTTAAAATACATAATTATTATTTTGTTTGGATGTAGGCGGTCTTAGTGTCAGTTTAAACGGCGGAGGGTACCAGCAAGGAATGGTCGAGTTTCATACACAGAACACAACACGACCGTGGACCGTGTGTAGATCCGGTCTAAATAATGTTGCTGCGCAGGTTATCTGTACTATGACAGGATTCAGGTAAATTTTCACATGAATGTAATTTTTAGCATTTGCGCGTCATGACTACATTAATAAAACAAAAAACATTTACACGCCGTAAATAAATAAGTATTTTTTTATTTCAATGGATTAAGTCAGGTCTACGAAAACATATGTGTGCACTTTTAATTTAATTTTTAAATCAATATACTTTTTGAAGAAGCAATGCATCGGGATAAATTCATTTTCCTTTCCGGAATCATCAGAAATGTTGAAAACATTAATATATATATCAACTGCTGTTTTAACATAAATCGGCATATATTAGCTTTTCGTTTATACTGTCCGTTATTTACTCACAGGTTACGAGTATATGGACCTATATAAATGGTTAACATATATGACTCGTGTCTCTAGGGGACGGTTATATAACTGTCAATACAAGGTCATATAACATGTCATATATTATGTTTATATGTAAGATATGTTTATAACGAATTTATAATACGGCAGAATTACTTAGTCCGGGCGCAAAACGAAAATAACTTCATAAATTAGAAAATTGGAAGTAGCCGTGTGTATAGATTATATAAACCTTACGACTATCCAATATAATATCCAATAAAGGGACGTAACAAACGTGCTGCATGATAAATAAGTTCATGAAGTTGAAAGTAAGAACATACAAGCCCTGATTGTATTGTGTGTTCTAGTTGTCGCAAGGTATGGTGTAAGATGCGAAATGTCGTTGTTGTGCTTACATGTTATGAATCCACTAAACTATTTTGAGATAATAATTGTCTTCTGAATTATTTGTAGCAACACGTCACCAAATATAACATCAGTTGCGTCACAAAATCCAATCTTATATACAAACATAGCATGTGACGGTTGGGAAAGTCATGTATCACAGTGTTCGGCTATTAATACGGGGCAGTCATGTGACGAAAGAGCCTACATTGATTGTTTCGGTAAGTAAGACATCCCGTTCTGTAACTCATAATCTGATAGGGACACATTGCAGTGTCGGTTAAGTAAAAAGGATATGCTTTATATACAGTACATTGAAATGTTTATCAGCGAATTTGTGACAACACTGTCATCATAGCATTAAAGATCGTCTTTTAGGTGTGTTCCGGAGGACTCTTTTTAAATTAACCGGTAGCCTGCATAAAACGACCACAAAAGTCTTTGCTAACAGTCTGGTACCAGACAAGACAAATTACATAAAATTAAAAAAAATAAAAAAATTAATGAGACGAAGATTTTTAGCAGACGACAATTTTCTCAGCTTGGTCAACGTTGATATTTGTTTTAAGACATGCTTATAAATGTTTTGTACATACTACAGATGGTTGTGTAAGGAACTATACCGGACCAAGTGGAACAATTGTCTCAGAAAACTATCCTGGATATCCTGCCGATACAGACTGCCTTTATATAGTCAAAAACACCGGAAATGACGTGCTGAAACTGAAGTTCAATGACATTGACCTAGCTGGAGATGGAGACTTTGTGGAGGTTTGTTTTTTATATTAAATAAGTTTATTTTACAAGCTTTTTTATCATTTGCAATATATATTTGAGTAGACAGCCCCAAGTTGCGCGAAACGACATAATCTGAATGACGGTCGCAGAAAAGGAAAATAAACGAAAAGCTAACAAACGGAATGACAGTCGGTAAATGTATATTATATTGGAGCAAAAATACAAGTAAAATCATAGTTGTATAGTAAAATAGACTGGGCCATGAACAACAGATCTTTTATAAAAAAAATATTACAAATTAGTGTTACTCCATAATAGCCAACAAACTGGAAACGATTTTCTTAAACGAAGATAGTATTTCATTTCTATATATACGTAACCCAATACAAACATGGCGGAGAGGGTTCCCCGTAAGCGCCCCTTTTCATATACATTGTATCTTGTCGTACATTTTGTTATCATATGGTATTAATTCTCAATTCCGATTGGCTTAGGACGGTTTCCATTTGAAGCAGTTGTAAAATCAATGAACAAAGCAAGTCAAGATAAACACTAAAAGACTGTCTTTTCAAACCAATTTATATTAAGCTTTTTAAGCTTCTATATAATTTTATCATTTTATATACATGTATGTGTTAACTTCTTGTATATTATGTATGTTGAATTTTGACCAATAAATGCAACTTTTCTGTATTACTAGATAAAAGAAGGACCACATGGGACGCAGCTAGGAAAATTCGCATCAAATGCTGCAGTGCCAATTTTATCTTCGAACAAAGACATTTATATAAGATTTAAAACAAACAACATGACAAACGCCCGGGGATTTAATGTGTCCTTTAGTCGTATGTATGTTTTTCTTTTAGTCATTTGCATGAATCCGTCAGTCTTTCGCAAGTCTTTTGCATGTTTCTTTCAGTCCTTTGCAAGTCTTTCGGATCTGTATGTCGGTATTTTGAATGTTTCCTGTATTTCCGTCAGTCTTTCGCATGGTGTCTATGTTTCCTTCAGTCTTTTGCATCTGTCCTCCGGTATTTCGAATGTGTTCTGCGTTTCCTTTCAGTCTTTCGCATGTTTTCTGTGTTTCCTTCCATCTTTGGCATCTGTCCTTCGGTATTTCGAATGTGATCTGCGTTTCCTTTCAGTCTTTTGCATGTTTGTTATGTTTCCTTCAGTCTTTTGCATGTTTCCTATACGTTTGTAACATATTTCTATAGAGTTGTTTGTTATTTGTCAGTTATAATTTGCATTTAACACATATCTGTGATTATTGTTACGTTTCTTTAATGTCTTAATGTGATATTCTTAAATTCGATTCTTTTCAAAAGCAAACACAAAGTGAGGGATTACCATTTACATCTGATTTCTTTTGATCTTTCTTTGTTTAAAGCTTTAAATGTTGAAGATGCTGTCACAATGAATTGCGGTCCCACGGGATGGCATGTTACAGTTAACTCTACCACGATACGGCAGCTATTCCCGGACACTGGGGTCTCACAAATAAAATTGACGGATCAGAAATGTATGGGTCGTGTCGTCGGAGATCTAGTCATCTTTGACCAACATTACACCCAGTGCTCTACTACACATATAGTAAGAATAAACGTGACTTTTTTCAAGATTTTCAAATTTAAAGTGACATTATGCTCATTTTTCGATTGTCAAGTTGAGCTGAATTGACTTTATAAGTCAAATGAATATCAGACTGTATATTCTCTCAATTCAAATTGTATATAAATGTGTTGAGTTTAATATCAAATAACTGTTTTTTAACATTTATTGTACATTTTGTATGTGTGTTTTAAGTACAGGGACATATATTTTGCTATAACATTAAGATCTGTTGTTCTGTAGAAGTTATGTTCACTGTAGAGTCTTAATTTTGGAAGAATTTATATTATGTTTATTGTAAATGTGAGAATACCATACAGGGGGGGGGGGGGGGGGGGGGGTTGTGCTCATGGGTTGGACTATATATTTTGAAATAGTTTAAAACAGTATATACCCCTACTCCCTCTCAGCAATTTATCTTGGCATACTTAGTTCTCCATAATCTGCATATCATTAAGATAGGAAAATTGTTACACGCTTCTTGGTAAAGTTTCTAAATTCTGGAACGCCAAATATGTCAACATGTCAGAAATGCTGAATCATTTTTCAATATAAAATATAAAAATGGGGAAGTGATTGGACATCAGTTTGTCTCCAGTGTCGACAAAACGAAAGAGAAGTTATTCACCGTATTCAATGCCTGTATGCCTAACCTTCCCCTAAAGTAAAACGTATTTAGCTTAAAATATGATTAATTTCGCTTATAATTTATATGAAATTGAAATGTTTAATTGTCATATTGTCTTCACAGGTTAACGCGGGAAATGTGGTGTACAATAACCAGCTAGTTTACCCAGAAGCCTCAGTGCCATTTCCGGTCGTTGTTCGGGGATACAGATGGACGGTAAGACAAGTTTTAACATTTTTTATTGCCGTGTGTACGAGTTATTTATCATTATTTACTTACGGTCCATAAATTTCCGGTTAAAAAGCTTTCCATAAAATGTGTATTTTTCGCTCACTAGTTTCTAGTAAGCAATTAAATGTATCCCTCCTTTTATATGTGAAAAATATATAAGTCTCAGCATGACTCGTGCGGCATCATCAATAATCTTCTTTTCGCTGCATATTACGCCTCATCATTGCCTTGTTCAAAATGCCTTCTCTTTACGCCTAATTTTGGTTATTACGCCTTATTCGTGTACCGACGGGGGGGGGGATGTTTAATATTTACAAAAATAGTGTAATTTTGTTGATGTAAATGTGAAAAAGGAGGAACTTTTAAATAACAAAACAAGTACTAGTGTAATAGTGTTGATGTAAATATGTAAATGTGAAATAATTAAGGAGGCAATTTGATGATAAAATCATCGATATTACTCAGAATCCAGAAAGCATTTCTCGTTCAAAATATCGCATATTTATTATTGCTTGCATGCATTTCTGGTTGCTTCATCATAAGACAAAGTCTCAAAGTATAGGTATAGCACAGTCACGTGTTTAACAACCAAACCCAGTTACAGTAACAGGTGAATATCATGGTTCTTTATGCTTAACATGCCAATGGTGAAATGTAATGGCAATGAAAATTGACTAAATTGGTCTAAATTTGTACAATTACATTTTCATGTCACCTGTTCACTCGTCGGTAGAGTTCTCATATGTCGCAGCTAATAAGCTGGTCTATGAAAACAATATTTAAAGTATATATATCTGATGGACATGGGTCCTTTAGAAGGGATTGAAACCCTGTTAAATAAAAATATATCAAAGATATATAAACATATTTTATTCATTGTTTTACAAAATACATCTGTGTACTATACACAACTAACAGTTTATGCAATGAAGCATTGCAATTGTGTTCAATGTTAACGGGTCACATGTTAGAAAGAAAGCGATTTATTGTTATATAATAGATTATGAAGATTAAATTAGTATATAATGGGACGTATAATCCGACGGTTGTGAAGGAGGTATACAGGTAATGCACAATGTAAAGTAATCTAGTATAGGCGTAATGAGCTAATAAGGAGAGAAATAATTTGAATGAGGCGTAATGGGGATATACTGGTTATGAAACGTTATGAGCTAGATAAGGCGTAATGAGGTTAATAAGGCGTAATGAGCAAATAAGATGCAAGCTTGTTAAGGTTTATGGATCTGGAAATAGATAGGCGTAATGAGCTTGAACCATGGAGTATCACATCAGAACGCTATGAGTAAAATGTATTTATTTATCTCCTGATAACAACTTTAGACCCATAACGGGAAGGGAGATATTTCAACTAGATTGTTTCAAACCCCGTCAGGGACATGTTGTTGTTTCTTTGGGCTAGAAACTGTACACTCATTGCTTAGTATTTGTGGTTTCCAGGAACGGATCAGAAAGGTGTATCTATAAGCTTAAAAGGCTTCCTATACATAATCGAACTAAAATAAATTCTGCATAAACCAACTAGATGAAGGTAATGAGCGACAAGAAAAGTAAAGAGCGTCAGGAACATGTTTTTGTGAATATTTCAGGTAGAATTAGAGTGTGATGTAGCTCGGACAGATACTCTTACTAACAGTTTCCATCCCAACCGAACAGTTGTACATCACAATCCTCATATCACGAGCAACACACATTACACGTCGCAGGTTAAATTCTTTGCCGATGGTACTTTCTTTAAAGAAATAAGTGGCAATCCCCTTTCGCTAAAAACAGGTACAGTTCGCTCTTTGTATTATAATCATTATCGACAATTGCTTAATCAAACACTAGAGAGCCAGTTAAATAACAATATTTTTTTATTTAAGTTAGTGGAGATCTCATTGGCTTAGATGTCGATGTTGAAGACAACTTGCACCTCATCACTGTGGGTTCGAATCCCGGTATTTGATTCTTCCATGTGAAGATGCTATCCAGATAGCTTACGGAACATCAGAGGTTCTACTAATCTGTCCGCTCGTGCATGAATACATGCACTGAGGGGCAGTGTAGAGGCTTGTTAATGTACACATTTGGAAGTTTTCCACTGTAAGCATGTGATAGTTTTCAATATTGTGGATATTGTGTGAACGGTGTTATTTTTATTTTTGAGTTTCTTCATTTTTTCATGATGTGTTATCACCTTTTTATCACTTTTACCTAGGTGAAGATGTGTACGTAATGGTAAAAATGTCGTCTGATGACGGCAATATCAAGATGAGAGTTGACAGCTGTTACACAAAACCGTCTGCTAACGCTGGTCCGGCGTTAACGTTTCCACTCATTCAAAATGGGTATAATTCTTTGATATCTGATTTCTTATTTAAAACGCGTTCAATACATACTTGACGTGGACTTGCTCCTATCTATTGCACGTCGTTGTTTTTTTTTATCTTCTGTCAAAAATTTCTGTCTATTTAATGTCACGTGACACAGTGCTTTAAAACAACGTCATTAAATCAAAATTATTATGAAAAAGAATATTTTGCGAATTTCTAATTTTGTAAGATAAAGGCGATATACAATTATTCTTTTTATTTATCTTTTTTTTGGTACTGAACTAATGGGCCTCTTATTATTTTCAAGGTGTGTAGTTGATACTTACACCCGACTCTTGTCGCAAGGGAACCACGTGACCAGATTCGTGTTTACGGCGTTCGAGTTTCCCGATAGTCGAGATACAGTAAACATCTATTGTAACGCGACTTATTGTGACGTCAGAGACACTTCAAACAAATGTACCCAGGTGTGCCATGGCTCACCGTCACTTGTTGGCCGAGCAATTGGCTCGTGGGGTTATGATGACAAAAACTACATTGTATGATGAATATATGAAAAAAAACATTATGATTTAAAAATGTGTTTGCTTGTGTGTTTTAAATCAGACCAGCCTTATTTGTGTCTTGTGGTGGCCGTTAAAAGTCCATTCATACATTTTATAAGATGTTGTTTTTTTCTGCTCTTGAAGATCGTATTTGATAATAGTGATAATACGTAATGATGATTATGTGTAAATTGAGCTAAAATTCAACCTTTTGAAGTTTACTGTACAAATATTCGCTGCATGATAATAATTTACAATTTAACACTTTACTTGTATTGTGTGTATCATTTTATGCAATTATATTGTAGTATTTATGGAGCAAATCAAAACCTCATGACGTTTATAATCATAAATACTTATACCTAAAAATAACTCTTTAATTGAAACGAAATCAGTTTATAATTTTTGTCGCAGTTGTTTATTAAATAAAAAATCCTGTTAGGTAAGCATTACAAATATGGTGATTTATAAATCAATTTTAATATTTAGAAAAAATGGTACAATTCGTACTTAGTCCTGAGGTAGCAATGTCTGACTATACATCTGACTACCACATCCACTCCCTTTTATTTAGGTCATTAATATTATTAATCCCATAATCCCTGCATAATAAAAAAAAACTCCAAAAACTACATTGTATAGTACAGACTTTGCACAAAAGCACTGTTTTGGGACAAAGATTTTCGTTGTTTCCGTAGTAAGGGCGTACTAATGAGGCGTATAACAGTCCTGTTGAAGTAAAACAAATCAAATGAAATGTTACACGATATTGAGTGTAGTATTGATATTTCATAGATTTTGTTTTATTATTTCAAAGAATTATTATATATATATATTAGTATATTTTTAATCTGTATCTTTACCGCCTAATTTCACTGCTTAAATGAGGTGAAACATTTTAATGAGGCGTAATGATGCAGCGTAATGCGGTAGGTGATGTTTAAGTGTATTATCTAGGAGACAAAATAATTTTGATGCGAAAAGATGTAACAATGACGGGAATGAATAATAAGTTGAAATGGGGAAGAGTCATGTGTAAAAAAAGAGGCGTAATGAGGTACTTGATGTGAATTAGTCAGAAAATATGTAATATGCATTGACCTATCTCACTGGCGTAAGTTACATAATCAAATATTTAACTTAATCGACCTATATAATATATGTATATAAGGCCCCCAATGCACTTGAGTTCAGTTTAGACAGATCGATGGAAAAACAGTTTGTTTATTGAACGTATGTGGAAATTTTAGCCGCTTTCTGTTTACTGTTAGTGACAACTGTGCAAAGATGAGATAGTAAGGCAGTTACCAGGATGAGGAGTAATGATGATTGATGAAGCGTAAAGATAATAAAGATAATTCGATATAATGAATTTAATGAGACGTGTAAAGCTAGATGACGAAAACAAAAAACAAAAAACAAAATGAGGTAGGTGATATGTTATAATCTATTTAAGATAAAGCGCATTGTTATATCAATTTGATAAATAATTTAGCCAAAGTATACATTATCAGTTATTTTACTCAATTTGCTTAAAATACCCCTTTCACTGCGCTTTACACTGCGCTTTATTATTACCCCATTTCGCAAATTATGTTCTGCTTACGCCTCATTACAACATACTGTCTTTATATTATGTGTTTAATAATGCTAAGACATTATGATGTTGATAACGGTGATTATTCAAGAAAAATACGGTTCGTTGAGATGAAAAGATGAGATAAAATTGGCGTAATTAGTGATTCATAATGATGATAAGGCGTAATGTTGACATGGCGTTATTGAAAAGGCGTAATGGTGATAAGGCGTAATGTTGACATGGCGTTATGAAAAAGGCGTAATGGTGATAAGGCGTAATGGTGACATGCTGTTATGGTAATTCATAATGGTAATAAGGCGTAATGGTGACATGGCATTATGAAAAGGCGTAATGGTGATGAAGCGTAATGTTAATAAGGCGTAATGTTGACATGGCGTTATGGAAAAGGCGTAATGGTGATAAGGCGTAATGGTGACATGGTATATTAATAAGGCGTAATGGGGATTAAGCGTAATGTTAATAAGGGGTAATGTTGACATGGTGTTATGGTAATTCATAATGGTAATAAGGCGTAATGGTGACATGGCATTATGAAAAGGCGTAATGGTAATAAGGCGTTATATTGACATGACGTTAATATGAAAAGGCGTAATGACGAGAATGATAGTTAATACAGAAATTATCTTAGTTTGATTGTTAATCAGTTTATAAACGCACACTTAAACTTGTTCTTGGAAAAAACGAGTACTGAGCAATGAGTGTGCAGTTTTACGCTCAAGTAAACAATGGCTTGCCCCTGAGGTGGCTTTAACACACGCACGATTTTTTAATTTATACGAATTTGTTTAAGGTCGATTGCATTGGAAGCTATAAGCTTATTGAAACACTTTCAAATTAGTTCCTGGAACTAACAAATACCAAGAAATGAAAGTAATGATTCTTACTCAAGGAAACAACGGATTGCCCCCGACGGTGTGTGAACCCGGGCAAACAGTGATTCTTTATTTTTGTCCGACACGTTAATTAACAACTCGGCCTGCCGCTACTTATGACAATGGTGATGAAAATGTTGATTAAAACAGAACAGAATATTTCAGTGGCATTAATAATAAACCATATTCATAGCCATATAAATTAGGCGATATGGTTAGGGCTAAAGTATTATTGCATTATAATTATAAAGTGTGTTGATGAGATGTAATGATAATCAGTTGTAATGATAATCAGGCGTAATGATAATCAGGTGTAATGATAATCAGGTGTAATGATAATCAGGCGTAATGATAATATGTCGTAATGATAATATGTCGTAATGATAATCAGTCGTAATGATAATCAGGCGTAATGATAATCAGGCGTAATGATAATCAGGCGTAATAATGATCAGGCGTAATGATAATCAGGCGTAATGATGATCAGGCGTAATGATAATCAGGCGTAATAATGATCAGGCGTAATGATAATCAGTCGTAATGATAATCAGCGTAATGATAATCAGTCGTTTTGATAGTCAGACGTTATAATAATCAGACGTAATAATAATTAGGCGTAATGGTGGTTAGGATGTGAATATGATAACACACTATCACATATGTAAGGCATTGTGACACAATTGTAACAATGGAACGTGCTTGTCTTAATGAATTTTCAAAGAACAGTTACCTAAGTAGTCAAAGTTAAAGGAATTTCAACCAATGACAAACTTGATACTATGATTTTGATATTTCAAACATAATACATTGTCAGGACAAAGAAATATTCAAACATTAAGCCACTGAACATTTCGCATTAATACACACTTTCTTATGTTAAATTATGCCTTAATTGTGGTCTAGTCGGTTATCACTAAGCATCTGCTGTTAATGTTTTTTTTTATCATTTAGCGTTATCTTTATGACAACTAAGACATTTCAGAAATAATAAAAATGATGATGATGATGAGATTTTTGTTCCCCATAGAGGTGTTGCGAAAGTATTGTATAGAAACGGGCATTTAATAAAAATCGTTCAATCTTTGTCTGAAGAACATGTTTGAAAGTAAATTGTACGATAATGCCTGTTAATCGTAAAGCCTTTTCATTATTACACCTTGTTATAAGGTAACATAATTACTCACCATCACGCCTCTTTTCTCACATTACTCTTTTCTACATATGTTGCATTTGAGGAAATCAGACCGCATCTCAATAACAGTTGAGCCGTGTCACGACAAAACCAACGTAATGCGTTTGCAACCAGCATGGATCCAGACCAGCCTCCGCATCCGCGCAGTCTGATCAGGATCCATGCTTTTCGCTTGCAAACCCTATTACAAGTAGAGAAACTGATAGCGAACAGCATGGATCCTGATCAGACTGCGCGGATGCGCAAGCTGGTCTGGATCCACGGTGGTCGCAAACGCACTATGTTGGTTTCGGCTCATATATTACATTTGAGGATATCAGACCGCATCTCAATAACCATTATTTTTCTTGATTTCTCCTTTTTTCTTTCTTTCCGTTTATTATTCGCGATTATGCTTTCTATAATTACCGTTTGTCTCTTTAATCATTACACCTAATGAATCACACATTTTGCCTCATTATTCACGTTTACAATATTTACTCAATAATACACCAAAGAATTTAACATTTTGTATACTATTCCACCATTATGCCTCCTTTTTCGCCATTACTTTTCATAATTCACTATTACGCCACATTACTTTTTCTTATATCTCTTTATCACCATCACGCCACATAATCTGTTATAACACCTTTTTATTCAATTCATACCTCATTATTAACCATTACGCTTAAATATTTCCCATAACGCCTAAGGTACCAACATGTGTCAGTATTCAACATAACACCTCGTTTATTAACATTACGCTTTTTTATTAGCCATTACGGTTTATTTTTTTGTGAAGGACTACCTCCTGAACATAGGATGGGCAAGGGAAGACCCCTTGTTAATGTTGAGAGAACTTGAGGGTCAATCCTTTTGCCAAACATGTTATACCATTGTTTTGTAACTGTCTTTACATGTATGTATCTTTTTCTTTTTTCCCCTATTTTTTTCCTTGTCAATAAAATATGTTTAAATAAATAGGGTAGACTTTACATCCTAGTAACTATGCTTAAATTTATTGATCTTTAAAATACATGTACTATGAATAAATTAGCAATATTTTGTAATAAACCATTTAGTATCAGAAAGGAATTTATGAATAATGTATATGACTGATATTACCAAATATTTTATGTATGTTTATATTTTCACTCTAGCTGTATTTAAATGTATGCTGTATATAGTATGTGTAATGACGAGGAACTGTTATGTTCAAATCATATTGTAAAATAAAAGTTGTTCAGTTCTGTTCTGATATTTGTCGATCTTGAATTATAGGCTGTTATCAGATTCTGCGACACTATGTCGAATTAAAATGCACTTCATTTATCTTAATGGCGGGGTGGTCTTAATTTCAGTGTGG